CCACCCATGAATCCAAGCCTGACTACCCAAGAAGGCAAAGTCAGCACGGCTTCGTTCGCTGGCTGGCTTACAAGCGGCCTCTCTTGCCAAACCCGGACCTCGTAAATCGCCCAAACTCGCACCTACATATCCTCAGCTCTGAAGGACAGGAAGGTTCTCCAGCCATACAGGCTGCTTTGTCAGCCATACAAACTTGTCAATAACTGTCAAGGCTGAAGCTACTGCACAGGGCCAGTGGCTGAAGTCGGTCCTGGTTAAACACCCCTCACCAGAAACAAACACTGAGAGATCTACAAATCCCGTGCCTGTGGGAGGCTTTAGCAGGTGAGTCCTGTCGTCAGCCCCACACAAAACCGAGACCCACTCTACGGAAGTTGTCCTCCTCGCCTCCACGTTTATGTCCGGAATTCAACATCCGTTCAAGCAGGCAAGATCCGGCTGATACGCAGGCATCGATTGTTGAGCATTCTCGTGCATCCAGGCCGGCGAAAGTGATGCTATCATCGGCCTTCATCATGCATTAGTAGGGAGTTTCCCCGAAAATAGGGAACCCCCATATAGTACCCTAAATAGTAGGATCCTTATTATAGGGACCCCAAATAAGGTACCCCTCATTTTCGGAAACTCCCAGTAAGACATTTTCACTTTCAGAAGTGCGGCAGCTCCAGGATCCAAACTGCCAGGCAGTGGCGATTCGGGCGGAGCCTCGGAGGGCACGTGCGTTGGCGCAAAAACGCTTCTTCTCTGTGTCGTCTCTATGTATTTGTCTTGCGCCGCCAAACTTCCAAGATCTGAACCAAAGCCTAAGCCTACACATTGACTCCTTTGACACTAAAGCCAGCACTCGAAGCAGGCTACATTAACAAAATTCCACTTTCTGCGCGGACTGCAGTGTTCACAGAGGTAGTTACGCTCAAAACGGCAAGCCCAGGGACCTTTGCTTGAAGGCCACCCACCACCAGCGCGCTGGGGTGGAGGCCTCCCAGCCAGGAGAGTTGAAGATCCCCGAACTTTCTCCCCAAGAAGCCACGACCACACGGCCCCGGCCGGGCCTCGGATCAAAGGAGGATCCTCTTCTCGCCCACCATCGGCAGTGAATCGAAGGCGGCCCGGAGCTTCTGCTGCACCTTTCCGCCTGGGCCGCGTGGGGTTTTTTCTGTGGCAAGGCGGAAGATGCCGCTTCATCTCGCCCGAGGCCCGGACTGAGCTGGTTGCTTTGCAGATTAACATAGAGCTGCGTGAGCTGCGGCAGCTCAGAGAGGCTCTCCAGCAGTGAGGTGGCGCCGGCAACGCCTCGGCCGGGAGACAGGGGCCGGCCAAGAATCTGCGAGTGTAGACATCGGCAGAAACCCGGCTCCTCAGACTTCGGGGAATGTAGGTTGGGGCGTGCTTTCTGTGAAAACAGGCGATGCGGATGACCCCAAGAGTGGACATCGGCAGAAACGCGGCTCTTCAGACTTCGGCGTGGGGGGGGGGGGCTGGGCTGCGCCGAGAAACAGGGATGCCGCAAGGCTTGGACGAAGATCAGACTCCAAGAAAGGATCTACAGTATCTCCCGATATCGGCCCTCCGCATCAAGCAGCGCACTGTGGCTTCTTCGAGGCCCCGGGCCGATCTTGTTCTTGTACAGGTTCAACTCGAGCTTCTTCAACTGCGTCAGCTCGCGGAGGGCGGAGGCCAAGGCCTCTGTGCCCTGGTCGCCTCGGTGCCCCGGGTGCACGCCCCTTCAGGCACAAAAGTCGCGAGGCAAATTGCTGCCTTTCCGAAAGGGACGGGCACGGGCATCTCGGCAGAAGGGTTTTCGGACGACATCTCACGGGAGCCGCCGCGGGAATCCAAGACTCTGCTGCAAATCACGGCGAGTCGAGTCAGGCTGGGGTGAGCTGGACTTGGGACTTCATGGAGAGCTGGATTCGGATGCAGTTTGATAGTACAAAGCAGAAGCTCATAAGACCAGAGATGGAGGAATGGCTGGGGTCGGCTTGCGGGCCCAACCCCCAAGCGGGAGGCGGCGCCGCCAACAAGAGCTACAAAACAAAAAGGACGAGGGAGGAGCGAAAGCTGAGACCCCCGGCCCACGCAATTGCGATACAGAAACAACCGCAGCGTCTGCAGCTCCTTTTGGTGCCGGAGGCCCGCGGCAGGGCCCAGGCCCCGGCAGCGCCTGCCAAAGGCGGAAAGAAGAGGAGAGGAGCTCTGCTCGCGCTCCCAAAGGCGCCGGGGCCAAGGCCGAAGGCGTCGCGGTGGAAGGGGAGGTTGAGCTGCAGCTCTCGCAGCGGCTCCGGGAGCTTCGCCAACGCCCGGCAGAGCGGTCCGAAGAGGCGCCGGAACTTCTTGGCAGCGGCTCCGCCTCGGAAGGCAGCGCACGCGGGCCGTGGGCCGTGGGCGGTGCCTCGGCTCCGGAGCTGAGCCGCCGGCTGTAGCCGTTGCCGTTGAGATCGAGCTTCAGCTTCTGCGGCGCTTCCTCGAGCTCTTTGAATTCTTTGTCCTGCACGCGGCGGCGGCCGTGGCTGCCCAGACCCCCGGCGCTGCCCGAAGAGCCCGTGAAGCGCAGGGAAACGAGCGGTCGTGCCGAGCAAAGTGTTTGGAAGGTCGTGTCGGGTGGGTGGTGGAGGGCTTCCGATTTCCAGGGTTGGGAATTCCGGCTGTTTGGAAGATGCTTTGCCCCAAGACTGTTCGCTGAGATCCCTGGCAGAGGCATGGCCGACGGGCAACAACCCTCAGCACTACGTTCGGCGGACCCCGAGAAAATGAAGAACTTACCACACTTCGAAGAAATAGCGCGAGCCTCCAACTCGGCCAAGAACTCCACCACCGGATGAGTGACCCGGCCCTTCACCTGATTGCAAACACGGAAGCAGAAGAGAGAGAAGCAGTGTGGCACAGAGCAAACAAAGTCGGGATCTCTCTTCTGCATCGCCGCCCAGGCCCCGCCTCCCCGGAACGGAGGACCCTGGCCAGCGCGAAGGCGCCCTTTCCGAGGTCGTTCTCACCCAAATCGAGCTGGGTCGACGCCGGGCTGGTCGCTCGGAGGGCCTGCGGGACTCCCGAGAGCATCAGGATCAAGAAAACAAAAGAATCCCAGAGGCGTCGACACTCGACCGGAAGCACGGGCTTGGGAGGCCGAGAACTTGCACACAAGCTGTTGTGGCCGGCCTCCAGCAAGGAGAGCAAGCCCTCCTCGCCTTGGGGACAGCTCGTGCTTCCCTCTGAAAAAACTGACACAATCAATTACACATGCTCGGGCATGCAGAACTTTAGATGCGTGCGGAGTCGGGCAAGAAGATTCGAAGCACAGAAAGTGTGGACGAGGGTCTTACACAGGCTCTTCTAATTACAGTAGTGGCTGCCACTGCGGCTCAAAAGTCTGCTCTGCACGAACGGAGCGTCTGTTGGGCCGACAAACAGTACAGTGCTCTGTGGATCGCTGGAGTGGGGATTGAATCAACTGTGTCGTGATGGTGCTCCGTCGGGACGAGAGCTCCGTAGATGAGGAATGCGTGCCTCGTGAAGCCGGTAAACACTTTTCTGGCGGCGAGGCGACCACCGAAGCAGGACCTTCCTAGAAGACTGTCGCAGAAACACTGCAGGAAGGCATCTAACTTGACATCACGTTTTATGGGCGTCTTGGGAATCCGGACACCCCTGAATGTAATGCCCAGCAAGCTGTTGTTTCGGAAAATATTTGGAGTAAAGAAGACGATGTGGAACGATATCGGTTCCAGAGGAGGCTCTGTGTCATGTCACGAAGGCCTGTCGGACTGAATAGCCAAGCGACAAACTGTTCCAGAAAGTGCCTGAAAAGCCTTGCAGAAGCACAATCTCGGCCCGAGGCAGAGCCGGTTGTTCTTCAGGTTCACACTGAGCTTCTGAAGATTCTCCAGCACGCCGATGGCACTGGCGAGGGCACCGGCACCCTCCGTGCCTCGGGCTGCAGTCTTTCTGGCTCTCGTTTTTCGAGGGCCTCCCGCACTTGGTCTTCCCAGTATGTAACTTCCAATTGAACTGTCAACAAGTGTTGAAGAGAGCGTTTGACTGCACAAATGTGCCAACCTAGCTCTAGGTTGAGTGGTTGTTGTCAATACCACCTCCAAAGCATGAACGTACAGAGTGTCTTGTTCTCATTCTGGTCCTGCTAGGCATGCTCTGTTCCAACTCTTCCACAAGCCTCCCCTGCAGGCAGCCGCCGAGGGCTTCCGAGACCCGGGCCCATGTCACACATCTCCAGGTTCAGGGTGACATCTTGTAGCTCCTTCAGGCTGGAGACTGCCGTGGCCAGGGCCTTCGCCCTGGCATCGCCTTGGCAGAGACCGTGTGGACAAAGCATGATGCTGCGGATCGTTGGAGTGCGGATTGCATCGTTCGACGGGCTGAGGGAGCTCCCTCTTGTCTGCGGCTGGGAATATGTGCCCGGTCCGGCAGTCCCGCCGTCAACATGCCTTTTCTGGTGCGGTGTCGGTCACTGCCCGCTGCTTGTCCTGCTTGGTGCTCAGGGCTTGCCACCCTGCTCGCTTCGGCAACCCACTTCATTCAGGATTCGAGGTCTGCCGCCCTCCCTCATGTCATATGTCGCTTGGCCCCCGCTGCACCCGCCACGTGGTCGCGGGTTTAGGGTTGCGACCTGGCGACTCTTTTCTGCAGCAGCCGGGCTGAACAAAGCTGGGTCGAGTGCTAGGCAACTCCATGTAGGACCCAGCAAAAATCAAGCCTCTCGCTTGACGTATTGAAAGTGAAAGAAACCTCGCCACGACTGGGTCCCGCGCCCAGCTGGTTACGTGAAAGGTCCACATCTAACTTCCGGCTTCCGGCCGCTGCGAGCTGGGCAAAAAAGGCCTACAGCTTCCACGCAGCAGGAGTGGGCAAAGCAATGCGGCTGCTTGAGGGGAGCTTTCGCTTCCTACGGCCCAGGCATGCGCTTCGAGACCAGGATACTGAAGCTGCAAGGGCCCCCCCAGAAGCGGGCTTTAGGAGAGGCAGCTCCTCCTTCAGGCCCAGGTCGCTCAAGCCCCACTGCTCCTGCAAGTCTCAGGTGAAAGCCTACGCCGTCAGGCTCCGAGGCAGCCCTGCAGCACCCAACAAGTACGATTCCTTGCCCACCGGCAGCCAAGTGTCCTCGCTGGGTCTGCTGTGCATGGCCAGGAGGACCTGCAGGCTGCCCGCAACAGCCCGACACCCTCGGAGCCTAATCGGCACAGCCACTTCAACCCGTATGCGAATGTACAGGAGCTGGCCTTCCAAAAGCTGATGACACTGTCGTACCGCTCCGCGCCGATCTCCTCCAAAGGCGACAGGGTCCATCCCCACTTGGTGCTGTCTGGCATGCAGCGGGGCCAGGGGGGCTCGTGCCCGAAAAGGGTTACATGATGGTTGATGTGGGGTACCGGTAGTGCCCACCGCGTACACCCCGAGAAAGGGGAAGCAAAGTGGAGCCGCTCCTTGCGGTGCATGAAGGCCACCGCTTGCTGGAAGAGCTCTTTGTCGGATTCAAAGTCGGCCTTCGAAAGGGCGGGGCATCCGTCAGGTTAAGTAAGGCATAAGGACAGTTTTAGGGTCTCCCGAGGCGTGGGGAATGGATTCAGCTTGTCTGGGAACTCCTCTTGGAGGTGGAACTCTATGGAATTATTGTGACTGGACTTGCCAATGTATTCATCTGATGATCTTCTAGTGAAGAAGTTGCTGCGCTGGAGCCCTGTAGGGTCTGCGAGGGAGTCCACCTGAATCACCCACTTCGTCTCCCTGGAAACCCTTTCTTCTCTGCCGGTTGCATTTCGTCAGCTTGCCCTCGCTGCTTGCGATGCCTCGCGCCAGAGGCGCTGCGCCAGCAGCCTGTCCCCGGACCTTGGCAAATTCTTGAATGGGCCCGCCAACAACGGCATGCCGAAACAGTGTCGTCGCTCCCTCAACCCGTTCTGCTACAGGTGTGCGGAAGCTGGCATGAACCCTTGAAAAGCCTAAGTCCGAGCGGAGGCCGAGGGACCGTACCAGCGCTTGAAGCCTTCGCCCGAAGTAGGGAGCGATCTGTGCAGATCGCGATCGTGAGGACCCCACCCAGTGAAGGCAACTGAAAGATTTCTACAGGAACTGCAGCTCCAAAGCCCTGCTGTTATCTGGTTTGGCAATGTTTGGCAGGTCCGGTCGGGAGCCCGCACAAGCAAGTGGATGTGCAGGGCCTGACCCGATATCCTTTGAGCAGAAATGAATACCGACCGCTGTTTCAAGCAATGCATGGCCGCATGGCCCTTACATCCTTACTTCAACGCAATCTGAAAATGCAAACCTTTTGAGAACTGACAGCGCCTTCGCACGGACCCTGCTGTAAAGCAGGAGTGTGAGCCCAATCTGCGGCAGAGGCCAGGCTGAGCCACATGCATAGGACTATGGAAGCGCTGAGAGACTTCCCATTGCGGCAGAAAACATGTCTGGATTTCCACGTCGCACAGCATCTGCATTGCATCTCCCCTTTCAGCTGACACTTCCAACCTGCAGCGCGGGAATTGCCAAGCTCAACACCGTCACCACGACGGATCCACCTTCGTAGCCTTGGAGTTGCGTGAGGGACCTAGCCAGAGTCGAAAAAAACCTTGCGAATCGAGTAACGTAAGAAGATGATGGGTGCGGGAGGTTCTCGAGGAGAAGGAGGAACCTGGCAAGAAGATGGACAGCAGCTTCTGGGAAGTGCGAAGAAGACTTTCTCCTTCATCATATGCAGAACAAAGCAACCCCCGCCACACATCGACCGCAATGGCCTTTTCGTTGGGGTCAGCTGCTTATACAGCAGCACAAGGAGCTTGTCCCGGAGCATGTCACAGAAAGCCACGGTGCTCGAACTCCATGCAGATGAGCTTGCTCGAGACCCATCCTCGGCTCCTTCAGTTCAAGGCGAGACTCCGTCGAGATTTTCTAAAGCAAAGACAAACACCAGCCCGAGCGCCCAAGAGCCTGTGTCTGGGGTGAGAAGCAACACGGAGAGGTGCGAGTCCAGAAGCTCCGCAGTCGTGTCCTGCCAGTGAGTGGACTTCAAGGTCTTCAACCCCGATTAAGAGTCTGAGCTCTTTTCCTACAGTTCGCTGGCTGTTTGCATCGGGTCCTCAAAGGTGAAGCAGACCACGTGGACGATCACCAGCCACTCTAGGGACAAAGCGCCCATGACTTGAATCTCTGCATGCTCGGATTCCATGCAGAGAACGGCGAACATGACGTCCTGTGCGCAGGGCACCGAATGCGACGCCACACTCCCCAACCAGTCCGAGTCAGAAACTCCGCAGATAAAGCACCAGCAGAAGAACACTCCTTGTGGTCTCCTAAGTTGTTCGTCTTCATATATGCTTAGCACCCTGTAGAGATGGTATCTACCATGGCCACGGCTCCTCTACATCGTATGGAAGCGAAGCCGAAACCAAACACTGCAACCAGTGATTACGGCGGACGAGTGAGCTACTTGATAACGCCTTGGCCGCAAAACTCCTCGTACCCTTTGACGTGTGCCGAAGCTGACTCTACCTTCGCAAAGCCGGAAGCATTTCAGCAGCGACTCTCCGATCCTTCATGGTATCGTACTGATCCGAAATCACGGGGGCCATGCCGGTGATGCAGGCCTGCGCTTTGAAGTTCGGGGCTGTGGGTGTTTTTTTCAAATCCATGCCTCAGAATTTGAGTTCCTGCCCAACGGGCAAGGCGTCCAGGGCCCAAGCGTGGGCAGTGTTCTTACAATTTGGGGTGGTTTGGGCGGAAGGCTGTCGCACCAGACTGATGGAAGGCCGTGTATCTAAAGCTGGTGAGGGACATGCAAAACAGCGATCAGAGCCAGAGCAGCATCCACAAGATGGCAGCGAATTCAAAACCTCCCGGCATTTGCATGTTTGCAAGATGCGAACCTCAAAAGTGCCAAACAAAATGCGTAGAACTCCAAACCAAATCGGGCACAGCCCCGCACCATTGAGCTAGCTCCACATTTTCAATGCTTGAATCCCGAAGTTTCGGCTCCTGGACCATTCAAGACCGGCAGGCTTGGCTGCGCATGCAGCAACGCGTCGACGTAATTACAGCGAAGGGTGCCTTTGCCCCACGTTTCCCTCGAAACCCTGCGAACAGCTTTGCGACCGAGCCTGGGCAAAAGCCATAGTTCCGAACTTCTCACCAGGAGGAAGGCGCCATGCCATGATCAGAGCTTGCAAGACCTGCACACCAAAGAAATGAACGATGTGCAAACCTCCCTGCTTGCGAAATGGCCGCTTCTCAGCCTCGTTTCCAAGAAACAAAGGTCTTTGCATGAGAGAGCACCGGCTTGATGCAAACATCCAGTTCACTTGGAGGCCAAGTTGAGGTTCATGATCATGACCCATGCATGCAAAACTCAAGATTCGCCAAGCTTTCATGCTTTTGTTTGCAGCCTCAAACCTCTGCGCCTTTGGATAACAGCTGTGCCTTCCTGCTGTGCGAAAGAGATTTGCAAACGAAAAGATATTCGATAGTCAGGTGCCCACCAGCGCCAGGCCACTGCAAGCGAGGAGGCCAGCATACACCTCACGGACGGGCCGCGACTGAAGCTCTGAGTTTGAGGACATCGCCTCAGCCGAATCTTCAGATGGCAACAAAGATGTGGTTCAAGTCCGCTGACCACTCTTCGACTCCACAACGCAAGCATACTTCGAAAGGGCCTCTCACTGCATCGACCCTGAAACGACCACATGCTCTCTCGAAACAATTTAAGTACTAGTACCCAGAATCGCGACAAGGCGAAGGGAACTCAGTGCCTCCCAGTCGGCACCATAGTCTTTCGACAACCTCCGAGGTCGTTCAGCAGCTGGGGTGATTAGGAGGGATTGGCAGTGCAGTTTAGCGTTTAGACTGGGCCAATCAGCACAAGGGCCCTGTGCTCAAATTGCGGTTTATGCTGATTTATGCTGACTATCCGATTCAAGAAGTCTGTGTGAGACGGGCCGGGTTCTGAGCACCTCTACGACAGAACTGGTAACATCGACCTATAGCAGGCCGGAACCTCCCCGTGCGGCTGCTCCAGGCTAAGGCGGCGAAGCTGGTATTGAAAGTGATCGTGAGAGAGAGGGCAAGTAGCACCTGGCAGGAAACATAACGGGGCCGCTGGAGTCGGGCTTGCTGTTCCGGAGCCGCGCGCCTGCGAACCTTACTGAAAAATCTAGCCGCGTCTCAACTCGAACAGCTTTGTTCGTCAGAGCATTCCCCCAACACCGAAAGTCCCAAGCATTGCTTCCGTGGCCAGAGCAAGGCTTGCCGGCCTGCAGCCGCAAACCAGGAGCCCAAACGGTCACAAGTCACCATGAACCGGAAAGGGAGAAGCAAAACCGGGGCCTGAAGCTCAAAAGCGCACGACTTCAGGAAAGCTCGCTAAACGCATTGAGGACATCCGCCATCGCTTCTTCCGCGGGCCAATGCGCAGGGACGCAAGACAAGTGAGCCACCGTGCTAGAATTCGCCACCGCCGTGCTGTTTCGCAGCGACAAAAGGCGAATGCACGACAAGATTCAGCAGCTCGAATAGCAGATGCCGGGCGACCAAAACACCCCGAGACACAGGAGAGCAACAACGATGGGTCTTGCAAGAGTGCGCCAAAAAACCTGCCTTGGCCTTGCGAGGGGCGCCGAACCAATCGACACGCCAGCCAGAGCACGATCTCGAATACTGAACTAAGACATCCAACACTCAAGCACTAGCAGAGCTGCAACCCTCTCCCGAGAGCCCTGCCCACCTTGAGAGTCCGAGGCTCGAAGGACACGGCCGCGGTGGATCGATCGGTTGTTCCGTCCTGTTCCTCTGCACGGGAGATCTGACGGGAGGCCACCTTCACGGTGCAATACTCGCCGCCTCGGAGGACACAGGGAGGAGATCCGCTGCTCGTGGAGACGTCAAGTCTAAGGTTGGGGGGGACCGTGTGCCACACGTCCTTAACAGCTGAAACCTAAATCGTCAACACCTCCTGAAAGCAAACCCAGCCCTCAAGCTTCCCACGCTGGGTACCGGGTTGATACCATCACTTCTACGAGCAGGTCGGAGAGGCCTCCTAAGGTGCAACCGTAAATCCCTGTTTCATACTACATGCACTAAGAACAGGTATGTAAAGGTCACAAAGCTTTCGGAGCCAGTGCCTAGCCCATGTCATGGAAAATCTTGACTGCGGCGCACTCCCCTCCCCTCTCTTTCGGCCGAAGAGCACGCATGCATAGTTCGCTCTACCGCGCTTTCAGCATCGCCCAAGATCATGTGCAACCCCCCCCGCCCGCCCGAATTGGCATGACTCTGTGTTGAAACGGCCTCGTATGCCCGAAGTGCCTTGGGACTTCTGCCTTACCGCAGGAGTTCTGAAGGAACACTCCACTCAATTAACTGGCTACACGGATCGAACCTCGACACGGCCCAACCTTGTTTGCAACCTCGAAACTCGAATCTTGTTTAAATCAAATGTGCCGCAGATGACACGTCATTTAGTCGGACACCTAATCAAAGGAACCGGTCCGTCCAAGCCCGAGCCCAGCCTGGTCTCTGTGTCTTGCATTCAGCGCATTTCAGGATTAGCGTGCCAGCGACCGCCACAAGGAAGGCAATGCCAAGCATAATCAGCGTCCAAACGTGCCACCTGAAAGCATGGGATTCACTCAAATCGTCCAAATGCGACGTGACGGCTCTCTTTTTGGGTGGTTCCTACCTGACCGCTTCAGCCTTTCGCAGCTGCTCCTCTTCGCGCTGCAGTTGGCAAAGACCGAAAACTTAAGCTCGAACCTGGGGCCTCCAAACCCCGGACATGAACCCCAGATGCGCATGCGCTCTCCACTCTCAGGGCGACCCACCTGTCTTGCAAACCTCCGAAACCCGGCCGGAGCCTCGCGGTGGTCTCGGGTGCCTCCATGTCGTCTAGCTCTTTGACCGTTGGAAGGAAGGGCTCTTCGACCAGTGTGAAGTTGCTCCATCCTGTGCGCAAACCAAGGGAAGGATGTTCGTGCTTTTGCCGGGAAGCACTTTGCAGGAGAGCGACTAACCCTCGGCCTGTGATGTCCGGGAATAGGAGGCACTCCACCACCTCCATCAGAGGGATGAAAAGGAGCTTCATCGCCCTCAAGCTGCAGAGGATCTTTGCCTCTGCGAGCTTTCAAAGTGGGACCTATGCCCTGCCAAATCACAAGCATGATTCATGGAGCTAAAGCCCTCAAACTACTGCATAGATGATTCTGAGTAGTTCCCCCTGCTGAGCACAAGTACCTTACTTACTTTTGGCGCCTTCCTAAATGTAAGCCACTCCAGCACCCGAAAAGGCTTAAAAACATGCTCAAGTCGGGGTCCTGGGCAGGTCTCACTTCCTCGACGGAGCCAAAACAGCGAGCGAAAGCAAGGCTTCAGCTTCAGGGAGCCATTGAGAGCATGCGGGGCTTGGGGCTTGTGTTGGAGTCGGACATCACAAATTCTTCGATAGGGAGAAAGAGGACAGTGGCCGGAGTCAAACTTGACACACATGCGCAGCGTGTGAATGCATCGGGCCGTCACGATGCGACGTCCAGAGTACTGCACCTACTTCGTCCGTCTTTGTAGCCTACGCCGCCTACGCAGAGGCGATCCCGGGTCCTGGCTTGCTTACTGCGCTGGAGGGGAGGGCGTGGAGGTTGAGATGATCGAACGGGGCTGTTGCACATGCTTTGTGACAGCACCTGAGCCGCACGAGAGCACAAGAATGCGAGGATGTACCTCCTACAAAGCCCCTCTTCAGCTTCGGACACTACACCTTGGGGTCGGCGCAAAACACCGAATGCTTCAATCGCGAATACCTCCACACTTGGACCTGGAACTCCAAGAAAGCTAGGCAAGTTCCAATGGTCGGACTCTAGCACTGGTGCAGCACTGCGCCACGACCTCTGCTTTTTCGACGGCACGCCCGAAACGCGCAGGAAAGGCCACCAGTTCGCCGAAGCCTGCCAGGAGTCGAAGCCCCGAACTCCCACCAAAAAGCCGCGACCGGCCCCGGCCGAGCCTCGGATCAAATCGTGATGTGTTTCTCGTCAATGGGCAGCACGTTTAAGGCGGCCCGGAGCTTCTTCTGCTCCTCCTTGCCTGGGCGTTGGGAGACTGCGTGGAAAAGCCCAAAATGCTTTACAGAAGCAAAATGTCGGGAAAAGCCTGCCCAAAGTGGGGAGAGCAAAGTTGGGAGACCGCGTGGACGGCGCCTCTACGCGCCACTTTGGCAACTTTCAGGCCTCAAGGTGATCTCTAAGGAACCTCGAAGGACTTCCCACATCGCCCCCATCTTGTTTTATCCAATCAGCAAGAGCAGCAGCACCCGCGGTCAACCTGAGGACTTCCCTGCCCCCGAGGCCCCGAGACCCGGGCCGAGCTTGTTTTCACTCAGCACAACCGTGAGCTCTGTGAGCCGCAGCTTGTGCAAGCTCTGCACCACGGCTTCGGCGCCTGCAAGGCCTTAGGGGGCGCGAGAGGGGAGGGTCTTGCCACGCACAAAGTGCAAAGGATCTGCCGTCCCGTGGAATGGCAGCGAGGCCCCGGGCCGATCTGGTTGGTGGTCAGGCTCAAATACAGCTTCTTCAGCTTTTGGAGCAGCGCGAGGGCGGTGGCCAGCGCCTTCGCGCCCTCGTCGCCTCGGTGCTCAGGGCGGCCACTGCTCGCTGCTTCCAGCTGCATTTTCAGCTGCGGGAGTCCGGAGGCAGAGCAAAGGAAGGAGGGTTTCTGGATGAAATCTCACGGAAGCCGTCGTCTTGAATCCGAGACTCCCAAGCACTTCACGGGAGTCGAGTCCGTTCGGTTGCAGGCTGGGATGAGCTGGGCTTGGAACTTCATGGTGGGCTGGACAGAGTTTATCGAGACTAAACAGCAGATTCACAGCTATCTAAATCCAAAACCGAAGAATAGAAAAGCTAACAAGAACAGAACAGGAATGCATAGATGGAGGGGTCGGCTTGCAGTTGCAGGATAGCCAGAAAGGACTGGCGTGAAGCAGCTAGTGCGGCCCCCAAGTAAGAGGCGGAGCCGGGCGCTGGGGCCCCCGGCCCAGGGAGGTGCGATTCAGGCCCAACTTCAGCACTCGCATCTCTTCGTGGCGGCTGAGGCCCGCGGCCAGTGCCTGGGCCCCGCCATCGCCTGGAAAGGCGGAAGAAGAGAGGAGCTGCTGAGATGCGCATAGGCTCGCGCTCCGAAAGCTACCGAGGCCGAAACCGAAGGTGCTGCGGAGGCCGCCGAGATAAACCCACAGCTCTCGGAGCTGCGGGAGCTGCGGCAGGGCCCGGCACAGCGGCTCGAAGTTGAAGGTATCGCCTCCTCGGACAGCGCTTTTTGAGCTCTTCGAGGCCTCGGCTCCCCGAGGCGCTGAGCCCGCAGCTGGGGAAGATCTCCAGCTTCTGCTCTTCCTTGAGCTTTTTGATTTGTTGGTCCTGCGGCAGCGCGGGCCCGTGTTCTCGGGACCGGATACACGCAGGGAAGCGGGCGATTAGGCCGAATCGCAGGTGTGATTATGCAAGGTCGTACCCGGTGAGTGAGGGGTAGAGGGCTTCCCGTTTCCAGGTTTGGGAAGTCCAGTTTGGAATGTACTTTGCCGCATCGCCCTCTCTGAGATCCGGAGAGCCCTCGCGCTGTTCCAGATGCAGATAGATGCACATGGCCCCGTGCCCATCAGCAACCCTCAGCAAACCATTCGAGCCCCGGAAGGGACGAAGAACATGCCGCACTTCAGGGAGAGAGCGAGCCTCCAGCTCGACCAAGAACTCCACCACCGGGTGGGTGACGGCACCCTTCGCCTGCGGACAGCGACAGTCACAGAAGATGGGAGGCTGTGGGAGAAAGAGCAGGAAGAAGGCCGGCATCACCCGCAAGGCCTTGGCCAATGCCACGGCGGCCTTGCCCAAATCGCTGTTCGTCAGATCGAGCTGGACTCCGCTTACCCGGTGCGCCTGCAATGCTCTGCTGTGCTCGAGATAGAAGGGGTGCAGCGCACTTGCTCAAATCTGAAGCCGTGGGGTGGCGGTGAGCTTGCTGCAAGGACAGCAGTAGCCGCCAGCCTCAAGAAGGGCGAAAGCGGCTTCCTCCGAGATTTTGGTTCCCCCAAGGCTCAGCTTCTTCAGGGTCTGATTCTGCTTGGCTGCCTGCACACATTGACAGAGCAGGGAATACGCGAAAATCATGCATACCGCTTCGAAAATGCTTGACGAAGCCGCATGAAGCCGCTCTCCGTTGTCGGCGGAAGCCTTGCCAGGCCTTGAACAATCTTGAACAACTTGTCCCAGGGCCTGCGCGAGAGCAATGATGCCATCGCCGTCCAGGCACACGTAGCTCAGGTTCAGCTCGATCAGAGAGCTGTTCGTCTGCACAGCCTGCAGAGTTGCAGGCATCGCGCTTCGGCTTTGAAGCAAAGGATTCGGGCGGGCAATTCTGTCTCGAAGGCCACTGAATCCAATCCGCTCGAGGCTTGAGCGGATGCCATCCGTCCTGCCTTTTCTGTGGTGTGCGTTTTGAGCTTCTATAACGCGCCACAAAAAGGCGGCATGCATCGGCAACTGGCGGCGGCTCGGCCTCAATGACCTGGCCGGTGCCCTCTTCCGAGAGCTCATCGTGCTGCAGGTAGAGCCGCCGAAGCTTGATCTCCTCCGCGACCTGCCAAGAAGTGGTTGGGACCAGGCTCAATCCATGTCGAATCGCATGTACTTCACATCCCCTTTTCGCCTGCAGATGCGAAGTCTCCCGGGCGCGAAGCATTTTGCTTCGAGGTGAACCTGCAGGGCCGAAAGCAGCCTACCGGGACAAGGACCTAACTAAACCCCAAGAGGCCCGAGGACTAAACCGAAGGGGCTTAAGGGGGAAGGAGGCCTCCAACCGAAGGCTCGCTGAGGCACTGCAATGCCCAAGCAGATTCCTGGGCCAGGGCGGGCGGGCGAGAAAGAAGCTGCTGAGAAGTCGCAGTCAAACGGCTGGCATGGGATATTTGGCATCCCCTTTTCGCCTGCAGATGCGAAGTCTCCCGGGCGCGAAGCATTTTGCTTCGAGGTGAACCTGCAGGGCCGAAAGCAGCCTACCGGGACAAGGACCTAACTAAACCCCAAGAGGCCCGAGGACTAAACCGAAGGGGCTTAAGGGGGAAGGAGGCCTCCAACCGAAGGCTCGCTGAGGCACTGCAATGCCCAAGCAGATTCCATCGCTAACTTCCTTGGCGCAAGCCACAAGACGCGATGACTTGCTCGATCAAGCATCGCGAAAAAGACGAGAGCGTACGGATGCGCTCTCTAGACCAAGGCGTTAGCCTGTGCAGCAACAGCTGCGCCGCCACCTCCTGCAAGTAGAACTCCACAGTCTCAGTTTTGCTCCACCGGCCTCTCCATGCAACCAATGGCAAGTCCTCCGTCTCAAGATAAAGGAAAGTGGCCCCTGAGCCTCTCAAGACACCAGGCGTTGCGCCGCGCTGCGCCAACTGGTGGGGAACTCCGAGGCGCGCCATCAGTGCATTCCATTGACGACGGTACACATGCATCGATCCTCGAAAGAAGCGAGCATGAAGAGGCAGGTCGAAGTACATGGCGTGGAGCCACTCGAGCACCAAAGGGTCTTCCAGCCGAGAGTGCTGGCGACGCGCAAACCGCTGTGTTTTAGGGTTGCGAATGTGAACATAAGCAACCGGGTCGCGTGTGAGTGCGTCGGCTGGGAAGACAAGGTCTTGGCGGACCAAAGGGATCATCTCAGCGGGATGGAGCATGCAAAGAAACCCGACGGCAGTGACGGCGGCCCAATCATACCACCCCCAACAGATCGCAAGGCCGATGGCAGCCTGGAGGATAGGTTGAGAGATAACGGGGCGGCATTCGCCAGGTTCAGCAAGCTGCCATTTTCGATCTACCTGCCAGGCTGGAGACAGGTGAGAACGAAACTCTGGGAAGCGATCCTGAATAGAAGTGATTGCATACACTAGCAGGTAACGAGGGTGCCCGCCAGCGTAAAGGTGGAGACCGAAAGCCCGCAAGGCAAGAGCAGCGGTGGCGGCAGAAGAAGTAACTGCCGTAAGCGACAAACCAAACTCAGCAAGGAGCCAGGTGGTGAAAGCGCTCAAAGCCTTAGCCATCTTATGGCGGGTCGAAACAGCAAAGCCAGCTTCGAGGTCAAGGCTGCCCCTGGGAGCACCAGAGTGCCTGGGGCCAGGGTTCCGCTCGACGTCACCAGCAAGCAAGAGGAACAGGCGCACCCAGCGACCCAAGCGACGGGGGACGGCCGCAGAGGCACAGACCAAGTCGAAAGGGCGAGCGTCGCCCGAAACCAACGCAGTGAGCCAAGAAGGCCAAGCTTTCGAAGGTGCAAGAGGACGGCTGCCTCTGGAAGGACCGTCAGCACGGTTCTTAGCAGAGTACACGTGGAGACCCCCAGGGTACAGCGAAGAACCGAGGACGTAAGGCAGAGTGGAACGCAGGACCCGGCACACAGCAGCACTGGCGGAGCGGCCCTTAGCGGCAGCACCTAAAAGCACGCGACTGTCGATGAGACCGAGCAAACGACAGCCGCGGTGCCGCCGCGCACACCACTTTATCCACGTCTTGTAGGCACGGCACTCAAGGATATTGATGTGCCCCGGTGCTGCGAATTTGTACCGCAACAACTCAACGAACTCCAAGCAGTCTGCCAACTCGCCAATCCACTCTGGGTCATCGTGGAAAGGCCGTGATTCGAAGCCTGTGCAGTCGGAGGGCACAAAGTCGGGGCCTAAACCGGAAAACCCTAAGTCCCTAACATTATCGAGGGGAAGGGAAACCGGAATCGGAGCAACGTAACCTTGGGTAGCTAAGGCAGAACCCGAAGCCGCGCGAAAGTGCAGAGCTTTGGGGAGGCGAGTGCAGAACAGCTCGACCGACTCGCGCCAACGGCTGGCGACTTGCCGAAAAGGGCCAACGCAGAAGGAGTGCACCGCGACTCAAAAGCCTGCAAGCTAGCTTCAGAGAAAACGCCGACAACAGGGAAGTGAGGCGAAGAGGCGGAGCACTGGCAGACACCAGAGGACCTGCCCAACCCCACAAGCCAGGGCTTGTTGTGGAACAGAGCGACGGCACGCTTGAAAGGGGCGCCGAAGTCGCAGGTACAAAAGTGGGAAAGTACAGCACCCAAGCCGACAAGGGCCCGAAAGCAGTGGAAGCGGAACAGGCAGCTTTCAAGGGGCTGCTCGACACTGAAGTAAACGCCGGAAGAGGCAGCGAGACACAGCAGAAAGCACAGCCGACGAGCCAACCGTGCAGCCGAGGGATCAACCTCAAGGCAAGAGGCACCAGTCGTAAAAGCACGCGAAGGAGCCGTCACATGAAGGTCGAACAAGGCGCCCTCCGTAAGAAGCACACGCAAGCTGTGAAAAACCGAATCCGAGGCTAAGTCGGCAAAGCCCAGCTCCTCTGAAAGGCCGACGTCGTCAAGCGAGAGCCGCTGAAGGCCAGCAGCCGCATGAGCATCACGCCAACCAGAGTCAGTCCCGAACAGGTGCAAGTAGCCAGCAGTTTTAAGCAAAGGCGGGCGGAGCGGCAAAGGTTCGGAACCAAAGGCGAACCCAGAGGCCGTAGCAGGGCCCAAAGCAGAAGCAAAGCTGACGCCGGGGTCATCGTCAAGACCAGAGCTGGCAAGGATAGCCCCAGCAGGCTCAAGCAACTTGGTGTAAAAACCCTTCTGCTCCGAAAAACGCCAAAGCTCCTTCACAGTCGCACTGGGCAGAACAGCAGAGCACAAGCCGGCACCCGTAGGCGAAGCATCCATGCAGAACAAGAGGCCGGGGTAATCAACCCGCAAGTCGGCTTGCAGCAGAGGCGCCAAGGCGCACAGAGCAAAGAGCTCGTTGATAGATTCCCGCTGCAGCTGGAACACAGAAGTCCGAGGCTCCCGGCGAGCATCGGAGAATACAGCTTGCAAGATCGCCAAAGCGAGGCGACGGAAAAGAAGCACGTGGATCCAGAGCCCCAAAAGCGAAGACAACAAATCTGCCGAACAGCAGCCCTTTCGAGCCACAGTGCAGGTAATCCTCATAAGCACTCCAATGTGGTGCCGAGGGGCAGACACAAGGCCCGCCAAGCCATCAATGTCAGCGCCGAGAAAAGTCCCGGCCACTACATTCCTTTGCCGTTTGCGGGGGTGTTGCACAAGCCCGACGGAAGGATAAGCACGTTCGGAACCATTGAAGATAGCAGTGTCTCGGAGCTCGCGACCAAGCCGGTGCTCCTCACGGGTGCAAAGCTGAGCCGTAAGATGATCGTCTATTGCAAGGAGTTCGGTGCATGCGCTGCGAGGATACGGACGCCTGTATGCGGCGTACTCATAAGGTCTCATGCTGCAAGCAAGCGTGGATAACACATTGAAGTGACTTTGCTGCGCGAACTCGACAGCGTGACAGTCACCCATGGCCAATGCCCCGAGGGCAACATAGCAAGGTTTATTATGAAGTCGTGAATCGAAAACACTGAAATGCTGAAGTTCCCAAGGGGAGAAAGGAATCCCAAGGCTGTTACGTTCAGCCCTTTTCGAAGAAACAAGGAACGTGTAATACATTTCCGAAAGGTCGTCACAATTGAACCGAAGCATGTGCCTATCGGAAGGCAAGTGAGCCAAGGCTAGCAAAGCGCCAGGCGCAAGAAGCTTTGTGAAATGACTAAGGCCGTGGGTGCGAGAGTTAGCCACAACTGGGTTAAGGATGAATCTGTCACACGCACTGTCCTTACTCACACTAAAGCAACCTACAGTCTCATGAAACGGAACTTGATCACACGGAACGAGCCGGAGTGCCTGGTGCTCGTCCCACTTGGCAGCAAGCTTGAGCAATTCGTTCCTGGAACAATGAACCTGTGCGCGAGGGAGGCGTGGCCAAGCAGAAGCAGGCAGCCTAAAAGCATTAGGATCATCATAGAGCATTCTGGCCGCCGGATCCGACAAGAAAGGGCGAGGGTCGAAGCTAGGCGGCAGGGTCCACTTAATTCGGTCAGCAATCACTTTCTTGCTCGACAGCCCAGGCCCAAGAGCGCACGACCCAAGAGCAACCGATTCAGAAGCACCACCCCCGGCCTCTTCCGAAGCCGCAGCCTGAGACGATGCAGAAGTTTGAGGTGCTTTGGGGGCACGAGGCCGGGAATACGAGTCCCAATCGGCATGCAATGCAGAAACAAATTGGCTGAGCATGCGGTCCACATCCACAGGGCAACGGGTGTCACACTGAGGCAGTTCCAAGGCCATGCGAAGCAGGAGGTCGAATTTTTCGGCACTGCGTCCCAAAGAAGATGCACTGAAGCGCCCGGCCCGCAGGAAATGCAGGGAGTGCCGCTCCAGCGTGTCAACCACAAAGTGCTGGCTCTCAGACACTGGGGCGCCGCGTGCGCAAGCACTGCTAGGAGGTACATTAGGACAGCCAAGGGCGAGCCAATTTAAGCACCCAACCTGGAGCCTAACTAAGTCCCAAGCTAGCTGGTGAACCCGAGCGCGGCGGCGCCGGTGTGGCCCGAGGGAGCAGAAGGAGTGAGCCGTCCATCGAGCCCGGCTGGGCATCGGGACCGGCCACAAATCGCCTGAGCGTTGCTCAGACACAGCTGTGCAGGCAGGGGCGCACAAGGAAAGCCTAAGGAAAGACCCCAAGCTAGACCTAGCACCCCAAATGGAACCTAAAAAACTGCGGACCCAACTGATAAAGCACATCTCACTCTGAGGCAGCTTAGGGGGCTCGGGTGAGGCAGGAAGAGGAAACTTACATGAAGAAGAACGTCCCTTCGGCCCTGCCCGCGCCGCTGAGGGCTTCGCCCCAGCCGGGTCAAAAGAAAACTCCGTCGAATTAGTGTGCGACTGCGCGAGCTCCACTCTAGCAGCCGGGCGTGCACTTCCATCTCGGGGCATCACGTTGCGGTGTCCTGACCGCCCCCCTTCGGCCGACGTGGCCTGCGCGGTGGGCGCCCGGGAACTGCATCGTCCTCGGCGGGCTCGCCGTCCTTTCCCTGATCCTTCGCATACCCAGGGCCCGTGTTCATGCGGGTCGCAAGCCAGTCCATCTCCCGCAGGTAAGCCAGGTTTGCCGAAGCCCAAAGGGAAGGACAGCTTTTCGCGAACGGCTTGATGCCGGCCTTCTTTCGCATCATGGTGCTCCACGACGGCTCCGGGAGCCCCGTCAGCAACCAGGCCAACTGCGTTTTGCCACTTTCGGTCCCGGCCTGATCGACGAAGAGGATCAATCGAGCCATCCACGCCTCGAACTCGGTGTTGCCCGACTCTCTCGAGGCCTGCCAGGCCTGAGCAGCAAAAGTCCCGATAAGCCCGAGCGTTCGATGGTCTCCCAGAGGACACCTCCTTTCGACGTAGCGCCTCATCAGGCTGTGAGGCGGGTCCTCGACTGACTCGCCCACGTCTTCGGCCACCAGCCGGCGGATCTGAGATGCTACCTGGGAGTGGTCCTTGAGGATCTTGACGAATGCATCCCTGGCCGCGCTGCCGCGCGCATTCAAGTTGCCTTCTTCTTTGCCCCCTCCGGAAGCCAATGCACTCTCGAGCGGCCCCTGCGGTTTTGAAGCAGCCAGCTGCCCCAGCATCCGTGTCTGTATGACCAGAAGACGCTGGAGCAAAGGATCCGCCCCCGTCACAGCCAGCTCGTCCTGAGCAGCCTCTGCGTCGAGCTCGGCCAGCAATCCATCTGCCTGGGCCGCGCCGGCTTCTCGGGGCGCACGCTCGTGCTGAGCAATCCTGGGCGGTGGCCCCCCGGCCGCAGCACGGAGCCGATGCAGGTCCGCACCGCTCAAGCCCACGCCACCAGCTTCTGGAAACAGGTCGCGGGCACCACGCCGCCCGGCCGCGGTTGAAGCACGAGCCTGGCCACCCAAAGGCAAAGGATTGCTCTGAGCTGCTCTTTCCAAGGCTGCAACCTGAGCTCTGAGTCGCACGATCTCGGCAGCCTGAGCTCCTTCGTAGTGGCATATTCTCCCATGGAGTCCTGCAGATCCGGCTCGGCAGCTGCAGCAGTGATCCAAGCATCGGCCGCAGTAAGGGCAGCAGAGGCAACGGGGCGCACGACAGCGCCGCCGGATTGTATGGAAATCAAAGCCAGAGCACTGGATCTCAAAGCGGAGCCCTTCCTGAAATGGGTCAGCCAGTCCCAGGGCACGTCCACGAAAAGCAAAGCCACCGGCCCAACAGGCCTGCGACGCGGAGTCTCGCACTCGATGTCGACCTCGGTAAAGCCCAGTGGATTGTCCCCCGCCTCGGTGGAAAAGCCACTGACCAGCTCGTGAACCTGAGTCGTGCGAGGGAGCGCGATCATAAATCCTCCGGCTCGGTGCTTCAGCAAGAAGGCTGTAATTCGGGTCTGGGGAGAACTGTCGTCGTCGATCAGGTACACCAAAGGCAGCGGCCGTCCAGCAGGGGCATCCGTCAGAAGACGAACCACCTCGGTTTGGCTCAGTTTCTCTGGTCTCCTTGCAGTTTAAAGTATCCTCAGATACAAAAACGAAACGAATATGTATAAAGATATATGGAGAAATTTTTCAATCTCCAATCACAGGAATAATAGTCCAGCAATCCTTATCGTATTGCAAACAGAATGGCTTCACTCGGACAGGGCTTCTTTTTCGCACTCCGTTGCGACGGGGGTCTGTTACCGGGTTGATGGCGAGAGCGGGCGAGCACAACCCGTTTAGAGCAAGGCAAAAGCAGCCAAACTGAGAACGGCTAAAGCAGCCGAACAGAGCAGCCATCTTCCCCAGTCTCTCAAAAACCGTATTGAAACTATGTCGGGCGGGTGGGTGGTTGAAAAATTTCCGGCAATCTCAGCCTTGAACACACCGCCGGATGACATGATTCAAAATCGCACAAGATCAACCGAAGCATCATGCTGGAAATCGTGATGCGAAAAACAGCATCGAACCACATGAAAATCGGAATCTGTTGTAAAATCGCAACAAGCTAAAACTGTGGTTTAAACAATGTTGTTTGAAAACTGCAAGTGCGCTTCGCCTTTGGCTTCGCTAGACCAGGATAAACATAACTGCGCTCCGCTCCGTGGGTCGTTTCTCTGGTCTCCTTGCAGTTTAAAGTATCCTCAGATACAAAAACGAAACGAATATGTATAAAGATATATGGAGAAATTTTTCAATCTCCAATCACAGGAATAATAGTCCAGCAATCCTTATCGTATTGCAAACAGAATGGCTTCACTCGGACAGGGCTTCTTTTTCGCACTCCGTTGCGACGGGGGTCTGTTACCGGGTTGATGGCGAGAGCGGGCGAGCACAACCCGTTTAGAGCAAGGCAAAAGCAGCCAAACTGAGAACGGCTAAAGCAGCCGAACAGAGCAGCCATCTTCCCCCGGCCCCGCGATCGGAGGATGCATCGATGATCACTGCAGCACTTCCTGTGCCCAATCAGCTTCCAGCCTAGCCGATGTAAGGATTGCCTGAGCCAGCTTAGGCTCGTAGTGGGGAGCACGAACGAAGTCCATCATCGTATCAGTGGCTGCCACATCACCTTTGTTTATGGCCCGAAAGCGCTCACAAGCCTCTGCAAACTGCCCCCGCGATGGGAGGTCCGCCGGGTTACTCTTAGAGGGGACCCGCTCGAACCAGAGAAGCGCCTCCATGGAACTCTCCATCAAAGCCACCAAGGAGATGAGGCGCATCATGGAGGCCGAGGGGGAGTATCGCTTTACGAACCCATAAAGGCAGGCGTTGTTGTCAATCCATGCCAAGACTGAGCGACCTTTCAGCACTCCGCGAATCCCGAACAAGGTTATTGCCAGAGCATAGGCCTCAACCTGACAAATCACTTGGGCCCCAGCTTCCTTGCCCCAGTGACCCATCAGCTGCTGGCAGACTTCCCCCCCGAAAACCCATCGGGAGCCCGTGTAAGCATCTACAAGAACCGCGCCCCAGGTACCTCGCCCCTTCTCGAAGGCTCCATCAGTGTAGAGCACAATCGGCGGCAGAATTGTAGCCGGGCACCGCTTTGGCCTGCACTGCGCAATGACATCCAGAGCTAACGCACAAGCCAGTCGAAGTTCGAGTGTACTTCCTTGGAAAGGCCCCGACAAGGCCCGGGACAGCATTCGCGACGTGGGCTTCAGCTCGAAGCCCATAATCAGTCCACCTGCGAAGTTGATCAAGCCGTGCAGCGAGGCCACATCAGATCTCGTCACAGCTCCCCCCTGGGCAATTGTTTGGAGGAGCTCTGCAATCTTTTCAAGACGTCCCGCTTTGTTCTCGACCTTGAGAGTGCCTCCCCATATCTCGTCCAGGCCCAAAGAAACACCCAAGGAGACCACCTTGTTGTCAAACGGCACAAACTTCCGCCCAGACTTCGCGTAGGTCCACCCTAGCAGGTCCAGCAGCCTCATCAGGACCTTGTCCAGCAGGAATGCAGCTGGGCGAAATTCATATACAGTGTAGTCGTCGTAAAAGTCGGTCGCGATTGCAGCGAACTTGACAACCATGATGTGAAGAATCGCAAGTGCTACTTTGTTGAACCCGTACACGCTTGCAGCAGCTCCAAAAGGCAGGCTCTGGGCTATGTAAAATTCCCACTTGCCTTGCGGGTCGGGGAAGCCAAGAACAGCGTGCTCCCTCGTGGAAGGATGGATGCTCACCTGGCGATAGGCTTTACTCAAGTCCAACGTCTTGCCGAGCAGAGCGGGCTGGCGGAGCATCTCGGGATCCCAGTTCCCCTCGAGCACGGTGCCATCAGACAAGGGGACCCGGACCTTGGAGCGATCCTGCAGCACACGGGAAAGGAACCTCAGGAGGCCGACCGCGTAATCCGTATCCTGAAGCTCTAGGAAAGACGAGGAACCAAAGGCCCTGTTAACCGCCGACATTTTAAAGTCGTCAATTCCTTATCTTGGCGTCTTCGCCCTGCCTCAACAGGAAACGAGGCGAGAGCGACCATGCATCGGTCTTCAAGATGTCGCTGACTTCCTGCTCCGAGTGGTATGGACCCGTGAGGAAACCCGCTGCCAGTTCCTCGGAAGTCTCATCTTTCATCGCCTTGTAATCCTGTTCGGAAACAAGTCCTTTCATCTTCTGCAATGCGCGCCGCCGCAGTGGGGCCTGGGCTTTAAGCTGATCTGGCCCAAGGTCCATGGGCTTCGGCCGCTTTGCAAACAAAGGGGACTCGGCTTCCTGACCAACTAAGGGCACACCGTCGGTAAGAAGGTCAACCACTGACATGTCGGGAAAGCCTGTTTCCTCAAGAAGCTCGCGAAACAAAGCTAGGGCCTTGCCCTTAGTGACTCGCTCCACATCCGGATGCATTTTGGCTCGAAGCTCTTTCTCAGTGGCAGACAGCACCGCCATCCGGTCATTCAATTTTTTCAGTTCAAGCATCCGCCGCTTTGACACAGCCACTGGGCCTTCCGTGAGTATGGCAAAAATGTTGCGGCGAACAGCATCGGGCAAACGAGCACTGTTGTCAGCTGGGCAGGTTAGCCCACATGCGCGATGCAGGTGCTCCTCCATGGAAAAATACACACCTGCCAGATCTCCGGCTCTACCATCTCTTTGTATCCGGACCCTCTTAGAAGGACTGGGCTCATCATTATCCCCCGGCTCATCATTGTCCCCCGCACTAGAGCCGCGGCCTTTGGAGAGTATTTTGTAATCAGCTCCACTCGGTACTTGGGACAAAGGAACCCTAACCCGAAACTCAGGGACTAAGGGAGGCATGTAGGTGGGTTGGTTGGCCGCTGCCGCTCGCACCTGAGCTCGAAGCCGGCGGCTATGCAGGAAGTCGACTCTTTGGACCTGGAGACCTCGGCAGACCGCTGTGGCGGAGCGACACAGGGTCCGGCACAGCTCAGCAGGCAGCGAGGCATCACTGAAACCCGTTCCTGCAGAAGGGGGAATCCAAGGCATGTGTTTATGGGACTTATCACAGGGACGGCCAAGGTTTGGGAAAGATGAAGAGTCAGCTCGGATGCGCAGCGATGTCAAGAATGGGGCACCGAACATGCAAGTATCAAGCTCCTGATCGGCCAAAGCGAAGAACCATTGCAGAAAGTCCTGATGCTGCCTCTGCTTGACAAAGTGGGCTAAGAGGCTCCAAACCCAACTCCGGGCCGGCCCGATCAAGCTGACCAGGGCCCGAGTCTCATAAGCTCGGAACAGCAGGTCGACCACGGCTTGCAGTAAACTGTTTTCATGCTGCACCAGCGAATCGGCGCGGGCAGGGAGGCCGGCGCGCCCTAGCAAGTGAGAGGCGTCACGAAGGCTCGCACGTCCTCGAGAATCACGCCCCTGATTGCAAGATTTCATGAACAGATTGAAATGCCACCAGTCGACAAGTGTATGGCGATCAAAGTCAAGCAATGTTTGCAGATCATCTTTCGCGGAGAGGTCAATCGGCACTCGGGGACAGCACTCGGGGGCACCACGTTTGTGGCCCAATGGCAAGGCATCCCAACCAGCCTGCAGGGCGGCGGCCGATAAAGATCCCGAGACAGCAAGGCAATCGGCCAGCATGGGAGGACGAAGGACCGAAGAGGGGCCCTGACTCGACAGGGGGTTGCAGCCCTCAACGGTCCCACACGAGGCGGAAGCGGCACTTCGCTGATCTGCACGGGGATCCGGACAAGGCGCTGATTTGGGATCGCCGGGATCCGAAGAAACCTGGTCGGACTCCGAAGACCCGGACGAGGGAGATGATTTTTGCTCGGAGGCAGGCGGAGCTGGCTCTTTCAGGGGGAGAATCCGACGCATCTGATCAGTCACTGGAAGCTGTAGTGACGAGCAGACCTCAGTTGAAGCCAACTGCGAAGCATTGGGCAACGGGAAGCCCAAATCAAGCAAGACATGTTTGTCGGCTCCGGAGATTCGCTCTCCGGCCTGCAAAGCAAAAAGCACCAAAACAACTCGGCGCCCGGTGGCTGGCAGAGTGCAATGCTCATACCCTCGCGCACAAAATTTAATGGGCCCGCGAGACACTTCCAAGTCCACAGTCTGGCCTGGCTCGCTTACCCTGACAGCTCCCCCTTGGAAAACGGTCAAAGGAATGACATAATTCGGAGAAAAGGAATTCTGACTGTCTCGGTGTGGCCGAGTGCGTACCTGATCAAAAATGGCAAAACTGGTGTAAACGGCACCATCAAGCAAAGAGGCTACAAACCTGTTCACCACGCGCACCGTTTGTGGAAAAAGCCTACAAGATTTGCGAAGGCTCACCTTAACTCGAGAGTACATCCCTGCCGAAAAGGAGCGCCCTTGGGCGTCTCGGTCGCACTGCTCATGCGGCAAGGCATCAAAAAGCCTCATCACTTGCTCAGCGGTAACAGGTGTGCTCTGAGCTAAGATTTGCCTGGCGAAAACCTCGGGCGAGGGCGAGGCTAGTCAATGCTTGCACTCACTGTAGGGCCTTTCGGCCCCGCACCCCCTGAAGTTGCACACATGCTTTCCGAAGCGGCACGACTTGCGTTTCTGGAAGCGACAGATCCCCTTGTTGTAAAATGGGCAGATGAAACGGCCATCATCGTTGGCCCGCACGCAGCCCTCGGGTAACGACTCCAGCAGCTCCTTCAGGGACGGTTGCGAGGATGCATCAGCCTGGCCTTGGCTGTGATTCTGCTTCCCTTTGCCGCGGCCTTTGCCCTTGGTACCCTTCTCTCCCTTCTGATTGCCCTTGTCGGGTCCCTTATTCGGCTTCCACGGTTGGGCCTGGTTCTCGGCAGGCTTAGGAAGGTGTGTCAGGCAGGATACCACAAACTGATTGGTTGCAGCAGCGGCTATGTGCTTATCAAGAGGAGCCGGGGCTCCGACTCCGACGACGATGTCACCTCGGCTCTCCTGGGCCACCACCTGCCAAAGCTTCTGGTCAGCTGCGAGCAGCTGCTGAACGGTAGTGTAGCGATAACCCTCCGGAGGCACATCAAGCAGAGCCTGGAACATGCGGTTGTGCCAAGACTCCATTGCAGTGAAGGAGGCGAGCCCTACTTGATCGAACGCTAAGGCCCGGCGCAGGAAGCACCGGCGAAGCTTGAGCTCGCCGGTAGTCTCGCACCGGAGACTCGAGGCTTGCTTCGTAATCTTGATGTTCCCGTCGGCTCCCAAAGAGAGCTTTTGCTCCGTCTTCTCACCCAGGATCTCGTCATGGCGGGAAATGCACTTTTCCGGCGCGATGTGCAGCACTTGTGCAGAATCGAGCATGGCCTGGACGCGGTCCACAAGGCCGTGTCCAGGTTCTGTGTGGATATCCATCTCGAGGCCTTTAAGCTCGCCCCTTTGGCGTTTCAAGCGTGTTAGGCGTTCTGCCAACGGAAGCTCGCGGGGGCTCGTATCACTTGTTCTCGAAGCCCTCGATTCCAAGTCAACCAGGGCGTGGGCGTGGCTCTCGTACCACAATCGCCTGATCACCATATGTTGGTCCACTGGAACCTCACTCCCAATCAGAGTCTTCAGGGCTTCGAAGAGAGGAGTGTCATCCCCGCTGGAAGGTTTGCTCGAGCACACGAAAGCTAGCTTGCCGAAGGTGTCCAAGCTCTTAGCAAGGAGCTTGTTCAGAAGATCCTCGCTGATGCCGATCTGCTTCGCTCGGTCGGTGAAGGCGGGCACCGATTCAAGTCCGGCCATGAGACCTGGGCAGGTGAGGATACAGGTTTCGAGGTCTCACCCACGGCGAAGTCAACCGTGGGTCGCGTTTGTCTCGGATTCACACTTCTTCGCCACCGATCACAGGCGGCCTTCGGGAACCGGCGATCCCAGCCGGTCGCGTTCCAATAGTATTTTTCATGACTCAGGCCGGCAAAGGCAGCCGACCACGGGGGTTCTTGCAATCTCAAAGCCCCCAATCAAACTCCCGCTAAGTTCAAGCCTGGGTGCTCACCAGGCCGCGCGGGAGACTCGCCCCAGTTTGGCAACTCCCAGCCAAAAGACTGCGGACACTTCTCAGTCCGGTTTTGTGCTCCGAAGCAAGAAACACTCCAACTGATCTCAATCGGCCCGAGCACCTTCATCTCAAATGGCATAGGCACGACGTCGCAAATCAGCAAACGATCAACTGAGCACATCCTCTTTTCTTCAAGCTGCGCACTGCTGGCAGACATTCTCCTGAGCCTCCTCAGGCCCCATCAAACGCATGTTCGCCGTGACCTTCCTGCCGCACTTAAAAATTCCGGGGTTGACCAACTTATGCACCACTCCACTCAAGACGTGCATGTAGGTCTCTCCCGAGAACGTGCAGCTAAGCCGAGGACGGACCTCCTCCGGGGCCGGTGCCCCCAGGTCCACTTCGAGACCGTCGAGGTTTGTTATGTCAGACCCAGCCTCGGAGTTGTTCTCATCTTGAGGCTCTTCGGCCGGCAAATCCTCAGCCGTCGTCTCAGGAAGATGTGCAAAATCTGCTGGATCGCCATGCAGAGCTCTTGCGACCCTCTCGGCTCGCGGGAGGTCGGGACTAAGCACTCCCCTGCTCACAGCACTCACGACCTTGGCTACCTTCACTATGATTTCTGCAAGCGCATCTCTCGAGTACAGGAGAGCCATGCCGTGCTTTGGACTGCAATGATGCCCCTGGGTAAGGCGCTCCTCGTAGGTCATGGTCCCGCTCTTGGCCGTCCAGGACAAGGCGGTTGCTTTCAGGCTGTGCGAGCTGTACTGTTCAAGATCCCCCGCGAAACCCTGCAAGTGCAAAAACTCACGAAGCCACAAGGAACCCTCCGCAGCCGTCATGGCCCTTCCTAGAAAGTTCCCTCCCGGCGACATGGCCGGCATGATTACGGCACAGTCTGGTAGCCCTGCCAGGGCCCTCTTGCGCATCCAGACACGTCCCCATGAGGGCTGAGTTAAGCCACTGCCCAGTGCAATCAAAGGCAGCACGGTATCCTTTCGGTCCTTGGCCTTCGTCTTGTAATGTTTTGTCGAACACTCAAGAAGGACAAGCCCGTTACCTGCCACGTCAATGCTCAAGTGAGTCCCTCGAGCCGCATCCGACCATCGAGCCGAGGAGTAGAGGCAGAAAAGAATGAACCCTGCTATGCTGGCCCTGGCATAATCCTCGGACTCGTGAACCAATTCTTCCAGGAGCCGCACTGCCTCCACCGGAAGGGGAGGTGCTTGCCAGAGCGGCCGTTTGGCCAGGGACATCGCCTTGGCTGCTCCCTGCACACGAGGGGAAATCCTGGAGCCTGTCTCTGCCCCGGTCAAGTGCACAAAGAACTTGTAGGCCTTGAGAAAAGACTCGCCGGCGGTGGCTCCGGCTTTCTCCCGTCGCAAGTGAAGCATGTAAGCATACAACTCGCCTTCGGACGGCGCCAGCGGGCGCCCTTTGTTAGCTACGATCCACTTGGCAAACCTTGAGAAATCTGAGGCACGCTTCAGAAGGGTGCTGGCGGCTCTGCCTGAAAAAGTGTCCTCGATGGTCGAGGTCAGCATGGATTCCTCCACCAGGGAGCCTGCAGAACCCACGAGGTTCCTTCCAAGCTCCGAATCATCCGGGAAGAAAAGCACGATGAGCCGAATTTTCTTTAGTGCGGTAAGCCTAAGCATGTCATCGCTTTTGGCAAACCTGGCTGCGAGAAGTCGCCTGGCCTCGTAAGTTCCTTTGGGCACCCATGCCCACGGCCCTGCTGCAGGGGCGGGGATCGCCGCCCTCCTAAGACCGTCGAAACGACCTAGCAACGGCTCCTGGAACATGAAGCCGGGCCCCAAGCGGGGCCTCGTCACTCTTTCCCACGGCATCGCCTGACGGGAATGCCTTGCAAGAATGAAACCTGAGTTCATGGCATGCCAATCACCTGCGCTGCCGCCGTAGGCAATGAAGCCTGCAAGCTGCTGTTCCAATCGGTCTGCAGTCGGGTCGTCGTCAGGGGGAAGTTGTGTGTCCTCGCGAGACATCAGGCCCCCCAGCTGCTCCTCAGTAAGATCATCGCCCTCGGCGGGGTTGCTCATGGAGGCCGCTAAGGGACTCTGATCAGGTGTGCCCTCAAACACAGCCGAATTCGGAGATATTGGGCTGGCAGGTATGGCAGACAGAGGGACCTGCTGACCTGATTCAACAGACTGCGAGACGGCCCCCTCATCCGGATAAAAAGCTTCAGCACTCATCCCCCGCAAAAGAAGCTTAAGACTCGGAGCGAAACACCTGATGCAATCGCTGCACAAGCCTTTCCAACCACCCCAGGCGGCGGGAATGCTGGTACCTTTCAGTTTCCAGGCCCCGGAGCTCGCGCTGGATGTCGCTGAGCTCTGCGCGTACAGCACGCAACTGCTGTTCAAGAGAAGCAACTTGCAGCGAAAGGTCGTACAAATGTTGGGAAATGGCTTCTTGAGTGTCACTGGAAGCAGAAGCCGAAGATCCCGCTTCAAGGGCCTGGCGGAAGTCCATCCGAGCCCCAGCAGGGCTCTTGCACGGTGCTCTAAGAGCAACACCGGATTACGGAGGACTCGGGCCTGTTAGACGCAAAGTTACAAGCCTCTAGAAAGCCCCTTGAAAAATTTCCGGCAATCTCAGCCTTGAACACACCGCCGGATGACATGATTCAAAATCGCACAAGATCAACCGAAGCATCATGCTGGAAATCGTGATGCGAAAAACAGCATCGAACCACATGAAAATCGGAATCTGTTGTAAAATCGCAACAAGCTAAGACTGTGGTTTAAACAATGTTGTTTGAAAACTGCAAGTGCGCTTCGCCTTTGGCTTCGCTAGACCAGGATAAACATAACTGCGCTCCGCTCCGTGGGTCAAGCTCCCGCGGCCATCCTGACTCAGCTCCGCCCAAGTAGGCCTCCGCTTCCGAACGGGAAGCGAAGCCGTGGCAGATGCACCACTGTTCCAGGCGACCTTGCCGATCTCGCCGCACGTATATAAAGCTCAAAAGTGCTGAACCGCTCTGTCACAAAGCCCTCAGGCTGGGATTCGCAGCGCAGCACAATGTAGATCCGATTGCGCAGCGGCAGGGCCGGACTGGAAACAATCCAGTCCCGTTCTCCTCGCAGCCTGGCACCTGCTGAGAGGCCAGCACGGTAAGCGCGAGCTATCCGAGCTCGCTGGGTCCAGGTTCCCACAAGGCCCAGCCCTCGGCCCAGCCGGCAGAAAGGGCCCAGGCGCAATCCCTCCAGCTCTGCCGGAGAAGTCGCTTCCAGGAAATCCTCAGCAGCCGAAGGGGCGTCGAGCTCCTCGGGAAGCGGTCGAGCTTCCCCAGCAAGGGGTCCAGAAGAAGCCTGGGCGCTGGAAGTCGGAGCCCCCACCAAGGTAAAGGAGCCGGTCGGAGAAGAAGAGGATGAATCTGGCACCGGAGCAGCGGCAGAGTCCGAAACTGAAATTCTCAAACCGCGAAAATGAACCACAAGTTCGTCCACAGAAGGGCGGCTGCTCATTCACGGTATTCCTGCAGTCTGCGAGCCAGTTGCCCCCGGAAAGCGGGAGCGGGACCAGAGGCGAGCTCAAGCCAAGCAGCCAGGAAGCGAAGACCAGCTGAGCAAACTCGCCGAGCCCAAGTGGAAAGAACCAGCGTAGCAGCTATGATCCCACAGAAGCAGCCCAAACAGCAAAATCCGAGGCTCAGGACAAAGGCGAGCCAAACGGGGATGCCCCTAGAGCTATGGCTCGGGCCCCAAAGCCTAAACTCACGAGCGAGCTCGGGCAGGGCAGCCCACATTCGAGAAAGAAGCTGCTGAGAAGTCGCATTCAAACGGCTGGCATGGGATATTTGGCATATCTTCACATGCTGCACTGCGAGTTCGGCAGGCACGGCCGCGATTGCACTATCTACGACTGGGTGAGAGAGGCAGGAGTTCACGGCGTTTGGCAGAAAAACACCCCCAGATCCGAAGGCCTTCAGCAGCAGCGGGAGCTTCGGGCTGAGCTCGTAGTGGACGATCTCAAGGCTCCTGAAAGTGATGGCGGTCTAGTTGGCAGGGAGCGGGAGCCTTGCCTTCGATAGCCGTCAAGCCCAGCCTAGGGCCTAGCGTGGTGCTGCCGAGGCGCTCCAGGATCGGGTAGTTCTCCAAAGCCGACAGGGCGATGCCGAGTGCGTCTGCACCCAAATCTACGAGCCGTAAGCTCTTGCACATCTCTGCCTTCTCTTTGTACACTTCCGCTTGCAATCTGCAGACGGTCTCTACGTCATCTAAATGCGTGAATTTCAGTTGGTGCGCTACATTCTCTCGAAATGCCTCCGGCACCATCGGGGCGAGCCCCCCTTTCTCGCCTTCCGGAGCATCTACTTCACGCGAAAGATTGGTGGCTGTGCGGGTACTCGACCACTCCCTTTCCGCAGCACACCACCCTCGCTGCGAATAAGGGGTGCGGTTCTTGACCAATTCAGTGACCGGCACTGGTTTCACCAGGCCGGTCCAGTGGTGAAACATCATCACGCAATCTTGCTTTCGCTCGGCTTCTGCTATGTCTGCTTCCGGTGTCAAAGACTCGATTCGGAGCGTATTTGATTTCTCATGGCAGTACAACACGTGCATGTGCTGCATTGCGCCCGAAGCCGAGATTCTGCTTCTGGGACAGTCGCTGGAACTGATACAGAGAAACGTAGTCTATGAACAGCCACTCCTTTCCTGTAAGAGCCTTGGCTAGCTTGGCAACCTGGTATCCGTAAGGGTCACAATGTTCCCTCGACTCCCAGCAGTGGGACAGCGAGACTATCTGGGTGCCTTCAGGCGCCTTGCCATCGGCCCAGGCTTGGACCTCCAGGCATTAAGGGGACCTAAACAAGGAGCATACTAGTATTCGCAGTGACATGATTCTTGGGGTGGGGTTGGAGATTCGCACAAACCGGACCTCCTCGTGTGTTACCAGTGCAGTGCGGCTTTCCACGTAGGCGGATTCCGCTTCCTGGCGGCGTGGGAGCCGCTGTCCTTCCCGCTGAAGCTTCAGAATGAAGTCGGCTCGCACCTCGGGTCGCCGAGATCTGATCATTGACCTCGATATCACCGCAAGACTATGCGAGTGGATTAGACCGGACCATCCCAGCGTTGCCGGTAGCCCAGGGTGCGCACAAGCCGGATGTCAGCATCCTTCAGGAAGTCCGCCAGCCCCTGCTTCTGAGCCAGGTCGTAGCGCTTGGACTGGCTGGCGCAAGCGTTGTCAGACCCTTGTCGCGCACCTCACCCCATTTCCTGGCCTCTTGAGGCTTGGGAGCTGGATCCGGGCGGCGGAGGCAGCGTGCCAAATCTTCACAGCTCAGCAGCCCCTCGCCTGCACACACCATGGACAAGCTTTTCCGAAATACACAGCACATGGCAGCTCTGACTCTGACGATATACCAATGGCTGAGCTTCCCGCGATCGGGGACAGCTTCTTGCAAGATGTCCTGGCCCAGTTGCTCGGGCACATGTTGCAACAAGCTGGAGACGCGGTCTCTCTGCCTGAAGCATCTCCACCGTGAAACGGTCGCCTGTCACCGGCAAGAATCCATACACGACATCATGATTCCGGATTCTGAAGAATTTCCTCGGTGGATCTCGATGGCTACAACGTTCGATATAGACATGTGGGTGGTTGTCAAAATTATGGTCCCTTTTTGGGTTCCCTAAATATTAGGTGCCGTATTATAACAAGGACCCAAAATAAAAAGGGAGCCTAATTTTGACAGCCACCCATGTATTGAGATGCGACAGGCTTTGCTCTACTGCAGCAGCCATACTTAAGCGCATCATGCAACAATATGTAGCCCGGACAAAACTCAAACATAAACAGAAGATCCCCGCAAACTAATGAACCTGCCCCATGAGTGACAAATCGTGTTGGATTTTTAGATTTGGGGGCAACCGAAGGGACTCACCTGGCCGGGTTCTGGCCTCTAAGGTTCCTGACGATGATGCGGAGAGCGTCCTTGGAGATCCTCCGAGTCTTTGAGCCACCCTGGCAGGGTAGAACCGGCCAAGAACAATGGAAGCTTGGGTTTAGGGTTTTGCAGAAATCCACATCAGGCAACAAACCAAAAGCTCGGGTGGGTCAGCACGCCAGAGCAAAGTGAGGCCATCGGATGGAGAACACGGGGCAGGATGATTCCAATTCAATTCCAACTTGTGCAGATACAACACCAACCTATCCCCGTGCTGCTGCCACCGTTTCGCGCTTGCTTCACCCACCCTCGAGCCCGCCGCACCAGCTGGATGTCCGCATCTTCGAGGAACTCTGCCAGCTTGGTCTTGTCGGCTAAGTCGTACTCCTTGACCTGCACCGTCAAGCCCGGCACCCTCTTGTGTCTGAACCGAAGCTGCATGAAGCTGCATAGGTATGTAAAGAGTGATGGAGCAGGTTACGCAAGCCGTCGACGACGAGCTCGTGGCCTCGCTCGATTACAAGCTGGCCACGAGGAACACAAACTACATCCAGTCCCGAAAATCGGTGCAGTACTTTCCGAGCTCTTTGAGCACCTTTACGCCGACTACCTCCAGGTATGGTCTGGATGAATAGCAGTTTTGAAGGCGTTTCGGGTGTTTTTTGGGCCCAAAAGGGCTATCCCCCCAGGGTGCCCCTCCACGGGCGGGCTGGGGGAATAGCATTTAAATGGCGGAAGACGGAGCGATGGAGCTCCTCGGGCGGCTGGCCCGGGACTTCAACGTGCGGCCGGAGCGGCGGGACCTAACGAGTGCGCGGGCCCAGGCGGCATTGCGCAGCGACGTGGCGCGGCAGGTGCTCGCGCCCAAGCCGCGGAGTTTGGGGAAGAGCGCGGCGGAGGGGCCCAACGACGGCTTGCAAGCGGACTTGATCGACTTCAGCCAGAACACCCGGAGCCGGAACAAGTTCGGCCTGGTGGTCACGGATGTCTTCACGACGGAGGTGGCCACGAAGGCCCTGCCCGACAAGCGGGCGGAGACGGTCACCCGGGCGGCGGCGGAGATCATCCCCGACCTGGTCCAGGACGAAACCAACGTCGTGGTCACGACTGACATGGGGAACGAGTTTCGGGGGTTGGAGGCGGCGCTGCCCGGAGGCGCGGTGCACCGGCAGAAGGACCCCTCGGACAGGAACGCCACGGCGGTGATAGACCGCGCCATCCAAACATTGAAGAAGGATCTGGCGGGCAAGGTGGCCCGCAGCGGCGGCGGCTGGGGGGACCACGTGGACGACGTGGCGGAGGCCTACAACGCCCGGCCGCACGCGGCGGTCACGGTGGCGCCCGAGGACGTGGAGACGAGCCGGCCGCCAGCTTCAGGGTCTACCAGGATAACGCCAACAAGGACCTCACGGAGGGCCGGCAGCGGCGGCGCCTTCCGCGCTCCGACGAATGCCCAAAGGAGCTTCCAGCCCCAGTACGGCCCCGCGAGGGACCTGGCGAGTGGCGAGCTTCGACTCCATGACGGTCCGTGCCAGGGACGGCAGCGAGACCCTACGCGCTGCCCGTGCCCCGGGGCAGCGGCGAGCCCGTGGCCTGGCTGAATTGGTGGCCGGAGCCCTTGGCCGTGCGCCAGCTCAAGGATTTCAACCGCCACGACTGCTCACGTGAATCCGAGGAGCTGCACCGTGGTGCACCTGTGATGCACCTGTGGTGCACCTACGGCGGTGCATCACCCTGCTCGCGGCCTGCGGGCCCCGCTCCCCGTAGGGTCAATGCTGGTCTGTGGGCCGAATGTTCCGCGTGTCGGCGCCCGCCTCTGCGGCCGATGATGGGGTTCTCGGCTTTGCCCCTTGCCATTGCGGTTGCCTAAACCCTAAACCCTAGGAGCCTGGGCCCAACCAACCAACCCTTTTTGCTCGCGCCGAAGCGCGACGCCGCAGCGGCGGGGAGGCAGCACCTGGGCGAAGAGGCGGGGGGTCGGGGATCCCGGACGCAGGGCGGCCTAGGGTTGCTCGAAAGGGCTACGTCGGGACTTAAAAGCCCTACCCCACAGGAACCCTGCGCACCTGCACTCCAGACCTGACTGCCTCGGAGCCCCATGCCTTCCAACCTTGGAAATGACCCTGAACAAAACCACAACCTTGCGCACTCAGTACTGCCAGCCTACGAAAACCCAAAAACCGCCTGGGAATCCCTGCCCGGCGCGACGCGAAGTGAAGAGGGTCCGGACCTGGGCGGGGACAGGAGCAAGGGGGGGCGGGGAGGGAGCAGGCTCTCCGTCAACTGCACACGAAGACTTTTTGCGCTGTCCGTCGGGGCGCTGCGTTCCGGATCGGATCAAATCACGCAATGACCTCTCCCAGGGCACATCGCGTCCCGCTCTCGAAGCCGAGGGTCTGTGTGCCCAGGTCGTAACCACAAAGGCCGAACTCTACCTTGTCTCCTGCAATGTCCACTGGGGGGTAGGCAGGAGGAGCGCCTCGAAGTCGCTCACGATGTGCATGCGGCGGTGGTCGTTCTCCCAGTAGCCCCACCAGCCGCGGTGCCGAGTGGGCGTTTACTGCGGGGGCCCGGCCAGCC